TAGAAAGTTTACTAATTTAATACTGTTTATCCCACTGACTCAAAGGCCAACTTTGATCAATCTAAGGTCTTAATAACACCCAAAATATACCATTTAATCCCTCTGTGAAGTCCCAAAATTTTCAGAACAGTTCCCATGCTCCAACAGTAACCACAACTCGTAAAAAAAAAACATCAAAATGTTACTATTGAAGAGAGCCTGCTCCAAAACTTTGGGAGCAGGCTCCAATCAGCCTGGAGCCAGCTCCAAGGACATTGTGTGGGAGCCAGCTCCCACTTCTATAGAGCCGTCTATCACCTCCTTTGAGAGCCATCTTCAACCGCTGCAACTTCTGCGACCTTCTGCTTCGTCTTCAGTCGCTCTCAACCTATCTATTTGGTTTTAAACTGTTCCTAAGGGTTCTAACTATGTCCAGTACAATCCCCATGATGTGTTTACAGTAGTTGAAACTAAATACAAAAACTACCAGTTCTGCAGACTAAGCATGCTTTAAGAATACAACTGAAAACATGCATGCACGAACTGTAATTTAACATATTACAACACATATATATCATCAATATGGCATGTAATATACATGTAAAACTCAGTTAACCAATTAATTAAACCCTAGAGACTATCTAGGTGCACAGAACACAAGTTAGAGGGAAGGAGGAAGAAAAGAACTTGCTTGTGATTTCAGTTTTGAAATCTCGGCGTCGTGTCCACTGTTCCGGCAACACTGAACTACCGTCTATCCTCCTCTTACTTCTGCTCTTCCCTTCTCCTAGGTCTGACCTTGAAACCTCAATCGAATCCCACACCAAACGTGCTCTGTTCTCTCAAAACCTCACTTTATATCTTTCTGTTTTTACATAACTCAGTTTATGTCTATAAGCTAAGTGTTATGATCGTAAACCCTAGACTTTGTGACGTTTCCAATTTTCAGCATTTTTCGTTTTTCCTGTAATTCATTGGTGCAAGGGCATTTCTGTCTTCTCGCGTTTTGTGGCTGGGTCCAATTGCATTTTGTGCACTTTTATTTATGTGGGTTAAGTGGTATTTGTATGTGGTGCATTTATATGTATGTGTGTGGTGTGGAATTAAAGTGAAAGCAAAAGGGAAAAGTCAAAGGTTGGTGGTGAAACCCACCACCATTTCTTAAAGTGGTCTAGAGACCACATTCTCCCATTCACTTTTTCTCTCTCCTCGTAGCTTCTCCTTCTCTCTCCATTTCCTCTTTATTTTTCTTTTCTTTTTGGAAGCAAGCTTTGATCTTTGATTTATCTCTCATTTCTTGGAATTTTGGAGTGCCATTTGGGGCAAAACGGAGAACACGACGAGCTCTACCCGTGAGTAGCAACAATTTTAGCTTTGAGCCTCCCTTTGGATTTCGAATTTAGAGACCCATTTTGAGGGTTTTGCTCATTTTTAAGGTAGAAGTCCTTAATCCACGAAGTCTTGTGCTTTAGTGAGTTATCTACTTGATTTTGTGTACTAACATGCTTAATTGTATTGATTATAATTACTTTGACTTGATGGAACATGTATGAATGTATGAGAATGTGTATTAATTTAATTTGTATGATGAACATGCTTGTATATGAGTTTTTAAGTTTTCTATGTTATTAATATGCAATAAATGATGTATGAGAACATGTTTAATCGTGTTGTAAGAAATCTCCCAGTATTATTGTAATGAAAGCATGAGATTCATGTGCATAACATTGGGCTTGCATAAAGGGAATCGTTTTGAAAGGAAAAATGGGGACTTTTGGGAAAGAGTTTTGATGAAACGGTTTTATGAAAACCCGGTCGCCGCGGAGGTACTAAAGGGCCGGAGGGTTAATATAGCCTAGAGGAAACTAAAGAGTCGCCCTAGCGTGGTTGAGCTAGCTGGGCCCATAATGACGCTGCAGGGGTACCAAGGGTCAGGGACACTAGCCAATCCTTCTCTCGTGTCGCTGCGGGGTCACCAAAGGCCGGGTTATATTAACCGTTTGAAAGTGATGGTTTTGGAATGAAAACGGGGAGCGACATTGGCATGCGTTGCATCTCATTGCATTGCAATTGGTTATATTGAGAATTGTCGTTATGTGGTGTATTACCCCGACATTGTATGATCCCTATCTCTTATTGTTCTATTCCTTGTATGGATTCACGGGGACACAAAAGGCGTGTCTTAAGTGCTTTTTACTGAGCAATTTGCTCACCCCAATATATATATTACATTTTTTTTCAGGTCACGGCAAAGAATTGGCGGATGAGAATCCACCACAGACTTAAGAGAACTTGAAAGGCATTTTGAACGTATTTTGTTGAATTTGAACTTGTTTTGTAAAGCATATGATGTAACATGTATCAAATTCATTGGTTATGTAACGGATGATATAATTAGAAGCTTGAAAATCTGTTTTGATGTAAGTTGTCTATGATGTAAAGTTTCCATATTAGCTTCCCTTCCATTTTTAGTTCATTTATAAGGTAGCAGGTCAGATCAGGATGCAGGGCTCGAAGAAGCCACTTCGGTCAACTAAAATGGCTCATCGGTCGACCGAACCTCTTTGTAGACTCTCGGGATCTCCATTTCGGTCGACCGAAATAGGGTTCGGTCGACCAAAACTTTTTTTTTTTTTTTTTTATGCTCTCAGTATCTTAGCTTCGGTCAACCGAAGTAATGTGTCGGTCGACCGGTTCAGGTAGGCCTGCTTTGGCCGACCGAAGTGAGCCTGTTTTGGGGTCTTGTCTCTCCTTCTTCCTTGTAGCTCACTCTCGACCCTTGGGTTGCTTAGAGCCTTGGGAAAGTTTGATTTTGCTCCGAATAAGCACGTTTTGACACTTGAAATGTTAGGTTTGACGTAGATGACCTCGGGTTCGAGTAAAGACCCGACTAACGGTTCAAACCTCCGGGTTCGGGTCGTTACAAACTTATTGTCATAGTGTATTTATAAGCTTTAATCCCTAAAACCCTAATCCTTGTAAGATTAGAGACAGAGCCCAACTCGGCCCATAAACCATCTTGTGTTATAAACAATGTCGGCTACCGATATAAAGTTTAAACCTAATGTAAAACTATATGTGAGCAACAACAATTACAGTCACGTTTAAGTTTAAGACAGAAAAATAATTAAATTTCATTAAATACATTCAATTAAATAAGTAATTAAATTTAATTAAATAATTAACTACACTGAACACACAATGAACCACTTAAACAAACAATTCCAATTAAATAAATAAATAACAATAAAACACTTAACAAATGATTAAAGAAAACAATTTAAGCAAATAATCACAAAAAATGCAACTAAATAATAAATTAAATTCCAGAAATATCCTTTTCAAAATTAGGGGTATTACATAATGTGACTCCAACATAATTCATGTGTGAGAGATAAAGCTCCTATCTACATGTAAAGCTTCACTGGAGTTGCCTTCAGTGGAGAGGTATAGAGACGGAGAATGATAGATAGATGGAAAATGATTGGGCCTTCTTCATCTTCTATAGAGAGTACTATCACCAGTGTAGGGATGGCAACGGGGCGGGGATCTCACTCCCCATCCCCATCCCCGACCAAAAATTTTACCCCCATCCTCGCCACCATCTTCCCCGCCCCCGCCCCTATCACGTCATGCCCCACCCCGATTAAGTTTTCCAGCTTCACAAATATCACACATATACATACCTTCCAGGAAAAAAATAAATAAATAAATAAAAATAAAATAAAATAAAATCTCAGTTCCAATTATAAAAAATAAAATAAAAATCACAGTTTAATCAAAAACAAAATAATTTTATCTATTATATATATATATACACACACACATACACGTTGAACAATAATTTCTTCAACCACTTTCCCAAAAAAAAATACATATTCAGATTCAATATAACAATATAACGAAATTGTGGAAGCGGACCTTTTCCTTTTCTTTCCTTGGAGAAACAATAATTTCTTCAACCACTTTCCCCAAAAAAAAAATAATAATAATAAAATTTTATATATATATATATATAACAGATCAAATCATTTTGTTTCATATATCAGATCAAATTAGAACAAGAACAAGAATTTCTTCAATAAAAAAGGAAACATGCTTATCCTCAATGAGATCTGGATTACAGATAGAACCTAGAGCAAAATCAATATATAAATATACATATATACATACACACACACATTTGCATATGCATATGAACAAAATTAGATATGGAATCAGACGGGGAAGAGCCGACGTAGGTGAGGGGAAGACACGACGTCAGAGAGCCGATGTTGTTGTCGATTCTTAGGAGAAGAAAGAGAGAAGACAGTGAAGGAAGCTGAAACGTGTTTTGCAGAGTGAGAGAGAAAGCTGAAACGAAGCGGCTAGGGTTAGACAACTTAGGCAAAATGTTCTTATATATACTAATATAATTTAGTAATAAATTATTATATGTAAGGATATATTAGTAATTTCATACTTAATTGGGGGCAGGGCGGGTTTACCCTATCCCCGGCCCCGGCGGGGATTTTGAATTTGCCTCCATCCCCATCCCCGTTTAGCTAAAAGGATATCCATCCCCGCTATAAACGGGGCGGGGCGGGGCTTCGTTGGAGATGGGAAATTTACCATCCCTACACTGGTGGGTTTCAAACACGAACCAAAGACCCCAAACAATATATTTTCTACCACTAGGCTAATACCTAACTTGCAGATAAATTTGCAATTTGGTAAAGTAAAATAGAGACTGAGATAGAGAAAGAAAAAAAATATGTGAAGGGGTATGACTTCAAAGTCTTCAAAATTGTTTAGGAGTATTTTGGACCCTATAAATTAGTGAAGAATGAAAATTGACATATGGATAATAATTTTGCCTAAATTAATTTTTGATTAGGTTATTTTTGAGTAAGTTGTTTTAAATTAAATTAACCTTTCTTTTTAAAGTATTTTCAACAGTGCTGCATGGACAAATTGGATAATGTTAAAATATAGTATATACAAATTGGATTATGTTAAAATATCAAATTCAGTCACGCAAACGGTGGCAATAACTGTAAGAGACAGCGACAGCATTTTCTAGTTATATTTATACAAACTACTTTACTTTCTTTGATCAATGAGGGTTTGAAGGTCAGTTTCGATGGAGTCTAACTTTGTTCTCCATGAAATCTTGAAACTTTAATAGCAAATCCAATCCGCCTCGAATCTAAAGTGAAAAGATTTGGCTCCGGTAAGTAATTATACTCCATATGTACAGTAATATGGCAATTTTCAGATCAATTTGTTTTGTAGTTCAATCTGAATATTGAACATTTGGGTACTGGGTTTTCTCAACTATTGGAATTTCGACACTACCATACACATGCCTGCACTTTGTTATCACTCGAGTTTTTAATTTCCTGTGCATGCCCACTCTGTGTTTGTGTTTGTGTCTGAAGGTACCCAGAATGTCTGATTAATTTTATGAAGTTAGGTTATGATGATCTATCTGTCTATGATATGCATAAATGGAATAAGGGTTGATGCTTTTTTCTTGCCTTTCTACAATGGAAATTTCTGTTTGGCAGTATGTAATGCCCCACTACAAGTTCCATAACCATTGTATAGATAACTTGTTGCCTTGGATAACTGGACCACCACTTGGTCAGCCTCCCTGAACAAATAATTATATGAATCCTGAATACCTTCTTTTTCTCTATTGTTTGAAAAATTGCATCCTTTTTGTTTTTTTTTTTTTTTAATGCAACCTTATGGGAGTAAACAGGGTTTTGGCAAGCACATTTTGTCCAATTCTGGGTATCAACAGCAAAATCTGGGCTAATCCCTAGGGGTGCAACTTATGTCAGGCTCGGTCAACTCTGGCTATCGGATGCACATTGGCTTATGTAGTATTGCCCAACAGATCAATTAGGTGGAACCTTACACTTTCTGGGTTTTCGGAGTGACATTTTTCTTTTTTTATATTTTATTTTATTTTTTATTTTTATGAATAAAGCATTAAAACTGGTTGTGTTCTCTCGGCTGTAAGGTAATAACTGCCTATTGGTCTGGAAAGAGAGTAACAGGTGGGAGTATAAAATCTGTTAGTGACAAGTTCTAATACAATTTCAGATTTGGTCCGGTGTGAACAGTTAATAGCTCAGCAATATAGAATCTCCGCAAAGTATAAAAACCAAAGTAATAATCTAAACTTTCTACACACACACAAAATATAATATGTGTGTGTGTGTGTGTGTGTGTGTGTGTGTGTGTGTGTATTTGATTAATGTTAATTAATAAAAGAAGTAATGGGTTTAGATATAATGGGTATAATTTATATTCATCAATAATTTGGGTGGTTCAAGATGTTATGGGTTTAGATATACTCCTACAAATGTAATTCAAATCAATAGTCAGCTGGTCCTGTAAACTGAGCACATCAGAGTACGACTGCAGAGTGATGAATGAAGATACAGTTGATGAATAAAATAAAAAATACTATATATGTATTTTTCTACAGTATATGTGTTCGTCTATGAATGTTTGTATGTGTTGTGTGTGCACGCAGTGCTTGCATGCTTTTAACAACAAATTGAATCGCAAGTTGCATCTTTTGTATTATATTATCTCTTTTGAGAAAACAAGTGGACTAACTTCTGTTGTGGTCAGAAAAGAGATTTCTTCTATATATCTAGGGGCTGATCTTTGAAAGAGTGCAATGGATCTACTCTCCTTACTCTTAGTTAGAGGTCAAACACTGGTTAAGGCAAAACAACATTCCACTGCTATGACCTAATGTTGGTTTGGTTTTGATAGGTTTAATACTGTGGAAGAAGCAAAAATTCCAGTGAACCATAGCGATTAGTTCTGTGCACTCATTTGTTTGTTAAAATGGCAGATTAGAATCATACAGTTGAGCCAATGTAGTTCAAATAATGATTTGTTGGATTGAATTGTTGGTTTAAATTATGCAAATACTATGCATGTTATGCATTTTTCGAGTAGAAGACCTGCTTTGGCTTTGTATTGTGGGTCGTTATTGTATGTTTTTCTTTTCTTTTTATCTTTTTCAATAAATCTGAAGTGAACAAAAGTAAAGGAAAGGATATTTGGCGTTCGGACCACCCTTCCTCTATCAACTTGTCTTCAATCTGTGTTGGTTGTGCTCACTACTATGTGAACATTGAGTTGGTTTTGCATTTGGTTAGTTCCAAGTTGATTACAAGCTGGCGAAATCCAACCAAGTTGAGGACTTTTGCGGTTGTGCCTTATTTTTGGTATTTTGGACCATTGCTATGCTTTTTCTTGAAGTGGAAGTTACTCTGTGACACATGAAATGAAGATTTTATTATGTTCAACAGTTAGATTTATGAGAATAAACTCAATAATGTTTTTAATCGTGAAAACGGGGGACAAGCTCTAAATTCAAATGTGTGCACAAACCCCTCATGGATGGGTTTATGGTGCAACTTCGGAACATATTTATGTTCTACAAAATTAGCTTTAATTGAATTATTGTGCTTTATTGTGCACCATTTTTATTTATTTATTTATTTTTTTTAATTCTCTCTAGTTTTCTTAGGCATATCTGTAGCTTCTTTGGATGTATTGAAATTGTTCTTTTATTTTTATAGTTAACGAAGCCTCACAACTTGTATTCAATCATAACAAATAGTCTAATTGCTTCATGCATTTTGTCTTCATTTGTTCAAATCTTGCCATTGGTAAGGTTGGGGGTGATTATAGTAGAAAAGGTGTGTTGATATACGTGCCACGACGTCTGCTTGAGTGGCACCATCTCTGAAAATAAGCACACCTGGCCAGTACTTATCTGGCGTGCTCCTGAAAGGACAGTATCCTCGAGCTACTCGTCTTATAACTGAACTCACTGGCCGAGGAAGGGGTCGCTACCCTTCCTCTTCTGTGGACGCGCCCTGCTCTAGTCGGATGGGCCCCTCCTCCCCTCTTTTCCGAGGTTGCTTCCTGCAGGCGTAACCTCGGGCATTTTTCTCTTGAGCTCCCTTTAACTGTAAGGACCTCGAGACACTGAGCTAGGATAGAGCCTGCAGGGCCGAGAAGGTGGAACCCCGAGGAAGGCTCTTTCCCTATCTTCAGTTGCGGGAATCTGAGTATCAGTGGTTAGGTGGCTGAGTTCCAAGGAATCGCCTCACTTCGAGGTCTACACAAGGGGGAGAGAATGTTTAACACCTAATAGCTGAGCTCGAGTAATAGACCACATAATACTCTAAATGTATATCTCACAGAATTACTATTGGATAAAGAAAGAGCTACCATCATAACCAAGGGTCTTTACCTAGGTAAAGCGACCATTGGATAAAGAGGAAGTTAGCTCTCATGACCAACGGTCCTTACCCAAATGAAGTAATATAAATAGGGCTTAACCCTCACCATTTATGGGGGCTGAAAATACATATACACCACCCTAACTATAACTATAAGTAATGGTCTCCTATGACTCGTGCTACCATGGGTGTTAAGCAAATCTGCCTTCTCTCTCTTAATCTCCTCTATGGAGAATCCCTTATGCTAGCTTGGAGCTCCACCCAGTCTCTGATCTCCTCATCCTACTCACGAACTACCATCAACAAGGTGTTATATGAGGAAGTTACTTGTTGAATAATAATTGTGTGATTCAGTGGTTTTGAGTTATTCATTTTGCTAAACATATGTATCTTATATGGTAGTACCACCAAGGGTTATAGCCTAGTGGTATCTCCTCTACTTTTGAAAGTGGAAGGTCAAGGGTTCAAGTCTCTCTGGAGGCAAAAGTGGGTTTTTGAGTTACTTGCCAAGATCTAAAAAAAGAAAAAAAAAAAAAAAAAGGAAAAGGAAAGATCTCATATAGTAGTGATTGGGAGAATCCTTGCATGTTGCAATTTTAGTAGACATCACTGTCTTTTCATATCTATCTTTTGGTTCTTCTTTGGTAGGAAAGCTGGGATTGAAGAATTGTTTGGACAGATAAGATAATCTCACAAGTTCCTGCTTGCATCCTGAGTTTTTCACACATTTCGTTGCCAAGCCACTTCCCATGTGTGAAAAAACCATTCATTGTCTTCCTCTGCTTGGGACAACAAAAGCATATTTTTCTTGAGATGTGAAATGCAATTGCAAGGTAGCATAAATTATTACCTTGCCACTGATTATTTTCCTCATCTCTTATTTTCCTCATCTCTTAGTTTCACCTTTTTTATATATGTGTGTTTATATATATATACATGATATTTACTCTTTGGATGATTTATTTTATTATCTCTTGTTTATCTATAGAACCACAGCATCTAGTCTCATGTGGCATAATCCATAAAAACACTTTATAGACACAAGGGTGCTTTAGCAAATTTTTGACTTGTCTTTTCTTTTTATTTATCTTGAATTTTCTCCAAAACAAAATAAATAAATAAGTAACAAAATCCAAAACAATACAAAAACGGAAGGACATGAACTTGAAGATAACTTAGTGCAAAAAGTTAACAACTTCATTTACCCAAAAAAAGAAAAATGAAATTAACATCTTCCTTTAACTTTTGACACCTTATTTAATTTGTGCAACATTCTCCCAACATCTAATCTATAAGAGTTTATGCAGAAATTTTGGGGACAAAAAGGGCAAATGGCCATTTAAAAATGCCAAATTATCTTATTGTGATTATTTTCCTAATATGATTGTAGAAACTAAAAAGAGGCTAACAATATGTTTTGTTCAAATTAGGGTTCTACAAAAAGAAAGAGAAGAATAAATTTTAGGGAAATTTTTGTGAGAGAATGTACTTATTTTCCTTCTCTCACCTGTATGTATCCCAATTGCAATAATGGTGAAAAGACTAATTTGCCCTTGGAAGAAATACAATTATATTTACACATTCTAACACTTCCCTTCAAGATGGAGAATATATATAATATAATCCCAGCTTGGAACAAACAACCTTCAAGCGATTATTATGACCCGGAGCCTTAGTAAACATATCGGCAAGTTGATCTTTAGATTTTACAAATAGCGTAAAGATGTTTCCACTTAATATTATTTTTGTCTCGAATGAAGTGACAGTCAACTACAATATACTTAGTTCTCTCATGAAACTCTGGATTGGAGGCAATTTGGAGAGTTACTTGGTTATCGCCTATGAAGCACGGACACGCCTAAAAGGGAAAAGATTGTGTTGGACACGCCTAAAAGGGCAAAGAATCCGTGGTGGACACGTGTGGGACACTGACTCGCGCCGGACACACCCCGACACGTGTCGGACACGTCAAAAAACGTATCAGAATATTTTATATTTTTTCGAATATCCGGACATGCCTTGGATATGGTTCCGACACGCCATGGATACGTGTCCAACACGCGTGTCCCATTCTTGGGGATTTTTAAGAAAGTTTTAGAAACAATGTTAAGTTGAAGTGTAAATATTAGGAGTTGTTTAATAACTTTCAGTATTATAATGGTAATTACATAATTACTTAAAAACTTCTTGTTTCGTAAATCCATTTTATATTCAAAGTATTAGATATTTATTCTTATATTTTAGTTCAAAGGTTCGAACTCTTACACAATCATCTTTGACTCTCTTGTTGTCCCACCAACCAATCTTCGCTACCGGTGAATGGTCTCTCTATCTCTGTCTCCTCTTTTCTCTCTTATTCTTCGTCCTCTTTTCTTTCTTCTTCTTGATCTTCACAAACCCAAAATACTCCTTTTTTTCCTTTCACAATAAATTTCTTTTTGTCTCTTTTTTCTTTTATTCCCCATGAACTTTTTTCTCTTCTATGGATTCTTATCTTTATTTTTAACTAAGGCCTAATTCTTTTTCTAACAAAACCCTAATCCTCTTTGTCTCTTTATTTTTTGTTTTTATTTTTTTCTCTTTTTTAACACTCTTTTCTACCATTCTTTCTTTTTCCAACATATATATATTTTTTTCATTATGAGATTGTAAAAAGTAATATTACTTTTAATCTCTTAAAGTATAATATCATATATAGAGAAAATATATTTCTTATTTGCCATGCCCCCGCCGTGTCCGTGTCCGTGTCCTAATTTTTTAGGATTTACGGTGTCGCTATATCCGTATCGTGTCATATCCGTGCCCCGTATCCGTTTCCGTTCTTCTTGAGTTATCACAAAACAATGGAAGAGGGGTTTTAACTGTCAACCAAGTTCCTCAAGGAAATATCATAGCCATTTTAACTCACTAGTGGTGTGGGACATCGCCCTATACTTAACTTTAGCACTGAATCGCTATCACTGTTTGCTTCTTTCTCCTCCATGTTACCAGATTATCACCTAAGAAGGTGTAGTTTCCTGTAGTGGATCTACTATATGAAGGGGAACCAACCCAATTAGCATCAGTAAAACCTTCCACCTAAGGTGACCATTTGGTTTATACAACAACTCGAGGCTTGGAGCTTGCTTGAGATATCGAATAATCCGAAGAACAGTTGACGCAGAGCATATGTTGGCTTACAAACCTACACTATTCTATCCGAAGTTGTAATCCAGATTCCAGATGAGGCTGTAGTTTTTATTAAGGAAACTTGGCCATGAAGGACTCCTATATGTTTATATTTCCTTAGTTGTTAAGGAAACTTTTGATGCCTATAAATAGGCATATTGGATTGAAACTAGTGAGTCTTAGAGGTCTTGCATCTTTTTTTATTCCCTTTTTCTTTTTGTTCTTTACCCCTTAGAGCCGAATACAAAGATCCTATGGCATATATTTTGGATAGATACATACTTATCTGGATATACAAGATTTGAAATAAAAAATTTAAGACTAAAAAATTCTATTATTGTGTTGGATCCACAATGAATCCTAAGGATCCATAGGATTGGTGTATTCTTTTACATCATATAGTTTTCACAAATCGAGCCAAGATGGGGCCAGTTGGAGCCTAAGAGCATCTCCAATAATCTGTTAAAACACCCTTTTGTGTAAAATATATACTACCACGTATAATGTGTAATTTTTTATTTTTTATTTTTTATTTTTATTTTATTTTATTATTATTATTATTTTTTTTATCTCCAGCAGTATGTTAAGATACACGGCCACGTCACCAATGTGTAAAATTATTGTGTATTTTGCACAACCCTTTTACATAGCCACGTCAGCATATTTTCTTTCTCCTCCCTCTTTCTCATTCCGTTAACGAATCAACCCTATATTAAGTAAGTTTGTAAAAATTATGTAGGTCCTGACATGACACGTGGTTGGTTGTTATTGGCAAATACATTTTGTGTTTTTTCCACAAAATGTATAAAATAATGGCTGGAACTAAAGATGAGTAGTCCAAAATTTTTGTGTAAATCTACTATGACACGTCATATTTACAAAAATATATATATATATATATCTACAGAACCGTTGGAGATGCTCTAAGGCGAGTTAGTCGATTGCCTAAGGCCCCAACTGATAGAAGGCCTCAAAATTTTTTTATTTCCTTACATATTATTACTTTCCTAAAAAATTTATTTCCTATCCAACCAAGAAGTCGTCAAAATTTTTATTTCCTTATATTATTACCTTTCTAAAATTTTATTTTCTTAAATCACAGAAGGTCCCAATTTTTTTATTTCCTTATATTATTATGTCCATAAAAAATTTAATAGTAGGCCCAAAGAATTAACTCCTATTTTATATCATTATCTAACCTTTTTTTTTCCTTTCTCCTCCCCTCATTTCACTTTTTTTTTTTTTGGTATTAATTATTGAGTATATATAAACACAATTAACTATTATTTGATATTAATATATTACATGTCAAAAGACCACTTTTATATTTTTCCTCTAAGGTCTTAGATTGTATCGAGTTGCCTTTGAGCCAAGTATCACAACTCTTTCTACAGATCCTGCATATTTTCCTTTTCGTTCCGTGTCGGAATAGAAACTAAACTTATTACTTATTATTAGTTATTAGACGAGATTTTACAAAAAAATAAATAAAAAATCATAGGAGAGAACAAGTGTTTCTTCGTCTTTTTTTCGATGTGAATTTGACAGAGTCTAACCTATCTCTTCACTCTGTTCCTCATCCCCTTTCGTCTGTTTCTCTTCCCCTTTTCTTCTAGCCTCATCTCATCTCATCTTCCTACTTCCCATCCCCTTCTTTCATTTTAATTCTAGAATTTCATCAAAGCAAGCTAGCCATTCTGCATCAGTAGTATTCTGATGTGGCCCCATAGAAGCTCCCATGAACTGAAAGAATGTCACGAGCTCCCACCCTAAGGTTTAAATTGTTCAAATTAGGGTTCTACAATGAGAAAGAGAAGAATAAAATTTAGGGAAATTTTTGTTAATAGAATCTACTTATTTTCTCTCTCCTTGTACATATATATCAATTGCAATTACATCATAAAGATTAATTTTCCCTTGGAAGAAATACAAATTAAATACACACATTCTAGCATGGTTAAATAAATTTGTTTGATAAGTAAGATTTCATAAAAGAGCGCTCAAAGGGGAGCACAGCCCAAGAACAAAATGCAAGGCCGGCTATACAATCAATTTATTCACAAAGATAATAGTAATACAAATATGAAAATTGGGGCTATTTCTAATAGTAATACAAATAGGAAACTATGAATGGATAGAATCCTCAAGGAGATCAATCATATCTCTCCGGTTGTTGGATTAGAGTTTCCAAGATAATGAAGTGATCAAGCAAGAGTAGTCCCCAACTCACTTTGCCTCTTCTCCTAAATTCTTTTTTCATTTGGTCTTATCCAATATCAATGCAGAAGAAGATAGGGAAATGAATTGAAGTGAGCTTGTCGAAGATTTCTGTCCACCTCCTTCTTCACGCTAACATATTGGTAAGACGAGCTTGATGACACACTGACCCTCGGGCCAAGAACTCGAAAGACATTCAAATTCTTCATGAAAAGGGAACCTGACAAAATGATTTGTAACCCAACTCTCCTCCGCAAAGCCTTTCCCCCAGCTACTACCCGGGCCAGCTACACAATACTATTTTGCTGAATTCCTGTTCATAGAGATTTGGCTGGCCAGAATACTTGGATTTAATGCTGGATGATATATTTGTCTAGATTCGAAGCTTTGTAACCGTTACCTAGTGCTGGTCTCTGTAATACATGTGGTAGGGACGATTGAGCGGGCAAAACCTAAAATCTGACAATATTTGCACAAAGTGGCTACCCTTAGACTGGAATCTTCAATCTCACGTTTGTCATGCAAGCTTTTTACCATTTCACCAAGCAATGACCGGAGGACAGGTTTTGGCGCAACACTACTCTTCAGGTTGTGATGGTGGAGTTCCTAAAGAAATTTGCAGATACAGAGAAATTTTTTTTTTTTCTTAATTGGTACTCACACACACATGCTTCCACCGAGGCTTGAACCCCTGACCTCCCTTTAGAAAGTAGGAGCTTGGTACTACTAGGCCACTGGCTTGTTGGTGCGGATACAAAGAATTTAAATTGGTGGCAATGGGAATTTTGTATTGCAGTTGTAGCTTTGTCATGGCAAATTGGTTGGTTTGTGAAGTTCATGACCTGGAGGTAAAGGGCTCTCTGCATGTAAAGGTAAGGCTGGAGCTGCAAAGTCCTATGGATTCGAATATCTATCTTTGAGATAGCTTAGGAATGGTTTGTTTGGAACAGGGATGAGTTTGACAAACCAACCAATTGGCCATGATAAAGCTGCAACTGCAATACAAAATCCCCATTGCCACCAATTTAAATTAACTGTATCTGCAAATTTCTTTAGGAACTCCACCATCACAACCTGAAGAACAATAGTTATTCCGATGATCCCAATAAACAGATGGTTTTTATGAAGACCTGTGAACACATTCTGCTTCTCCAACTTCCTCGCGTTGAATTCATTGAAAACTTGGCAAAGTACAAAAGTGTTGAAGATGAGAGTATCCTTTACTGCCTCATTCACACTAAAGATTGACTTACCCCTGAATTGTAAGGTCAATAGAACGGCTATCTGGTATAGAGATTGTGCCAAAAGGTTTCTCCACATAATATTTGTTATAAGGGGTTCAGTCCGACCCACTGGCGGCTTGTGCATTAGCTCATTAGTGGGCCGCTCTGTAGCAAGAGCCAGAGCGCCCAAGGTATCCATTATGAGGTTTACCCACAACAATTGAACTGCTGTTAGGGGAACTTCACCGGCAGAAACCGCTGCAATAAAGTTGATCACCAGAGCTGCAACATTCACTGTGAGTTGAAATTGAATAAATTTCTGAATATTGTTATAAACACATCGTCCCCACCTCAAAACTGTAGCCACAGAGGAAAAATCATCATCCAAGATGACAATATCTGAGCTCTCCTTGGCAACCTCTGTGCCTTGAATTCCCATGGAGAGTCCTATGTCTGCTTCTTTTAGTGCAGGTGCATCGTTCGTTCCATCTCCCGTAACTGCAACCACATGACCTTTTTGTTTCAAGCATTGTACCATCAAAAGCTTGTCAAAAGGTGAGGATCTTGCCATCACGCGGATATCATCAACCTTCTGCATTCTCTCCTCATGAGTGTAGTTCCGGAACTCAAAACCTTCGACCACTTCTCCGCTGGTTGCTTGTTCATCAGGTCCAAGAATTCCACATTCTGTTGCTATTGCTTTCGCTGTGAAAACATTATCTCCAGTTATCATTTTGATGCTCACTCCTGCAGATCTGCAAACCTGAATGGCTTTCTTTGCCCCTGATCTACATGGATCCTTGAGACCAACGATCCCTAGCAAGGTCAAACCATCTTCTTTTAGCTTTTGATGGGTTATTCCATCTTCCCTGTATTCCATTTCATCCTCTGGGATTTGCTTATGTGCGAAAGCAATGCAACGGAGGCTACTTGCTGCCATTCCTTGGATTATCTTCTCAAATTGCGTCCTGTCATCTTCACTTATTGACTTAATATACCCAGTACTCTGAATATAACTCGAACACATTGCTAGTACCATCTCAGCAGCTCCTTTCCAGTGCACATGAATGGTGTTGTCAGCCTTCTTCCTCAAGGAAACCCCACTTCTTTTCTTCTCTGAGTTGAAAGTTTCAACATGCAGTATGGTAGAACTTTGCTTCAATTTCTCCATATCCATACCCAATTCCTGGACAGCCCAAGAAAGTATTGCCTTTTCAGTTGGACTACCAGAAAACTCGGGTACAGATCCTGGAACTGGTTGGTAAACAGTGCCAGTGGTATTCAAACCAACTCCTTGGTGGTACAATTCACGGACTTCTTGGCCAATTATATTGGAATAAGATTCTCCCATGGCTTCCTGGCCAAGCCAGAACTTGGTCACTTTCATTTGATTCATTGTCAGTGTTCCCGTTTTATCGGTGCAAATAACAGTGGCTGAGCCCATGGTCTCACAAGCTGAAAGCTTCCTGACCATTGCCTGATCAGCCATCATTCTCTTCATGGAGTAAGCAAGTGTTAGCGTGACAGCCAACGGTAGACCTTCAGGAATTGCCACCACCACAATAGTGACTGCAGCAGCAACAATACGCACCACAGAATTGAACACATCATCTATATCTGTTCTTTTGCCAATATATTCCTGATTTCCATTCTGATCTTCTGTGTTCCCCGTGAAATAACGAATTAACAATACTACAAGAACTAGAAAAGCAACAGCGAGACCTACCTTTCCAATAGATGAGGTCAACTTGTCAAGCCGAGCTTGTAATGGTGTTTGTTCGTTGGAATCACGTGTTATTGAGCTCATCATCTCACCCCATGCGGTGTTCATACCCACTGATGTCACGAGCATCTGAGCATACCCATCTGCCACCTTTGAACCAGATAACAAGAAAGGGTTCTGCTTAGAGTCGACCTCCACATAGTCACTCTCTCCCGTCATGCTTGACTCGTCCACTTGCAAAGAATGCCCACTTAAGAACAATCCGTCTGCAGGAATTTGATCGCCAATCACTAGAAACACGACATCTCCAACGACAACATTGAAGATGGAAATCTTTTGCCGCCTGCCTTCTCTGACAACATCAATTTTAATATCATTACTTATTTTTGATAACTTGTGGAATTGCCTTTCCTGTCTGAAGTTACTGAGTGCAGATACAGCAACAACCAGAAAGACAGCAACGAATATGCTTCCACCTTCGTACCAACCTTCTTGCGCTCCATGTTCTTTGATGCCGAAGCCAAGAGAGAGAGCAGCACAGCCCAGTAGGATGAGAATGGTGGTGTCTTTGAAAGCCTCCACCACAAAATAAATGAGCCCTTTGGGAGGAGGTCTGTGGTAAGTGTTTGAACCGAACGCGGCATGCCTCCGGCTGATATCATGATCACTCCCACAGATTCCTCTTTCAGGGTCAGTCTCCAGTGCAGTGGCTAAGCTTTCAATACCTCCAAAGGTACGAAGCTCATACATGCTTTTGTCCTTCACCATTTCTGAGAGTTTTATTTTGTCAATGCATGGGAAGCCAGAATCATGTAGATTTTCTGTTTCCGGCAAGTTAGAAGAACCATGCGGGTCTTCTCTCTTGGGCATGTCAAAATCATGCAGATTCTCATCATTGGGCATGTGAGAACCATGCACATTTTCGATTTCTGTTTTTGGCAAGTAAGAAGAACCAGGCGGGTCTTCTCTCTTGGGCATGCCAGGTTCATGCAGATTCTCACCGTTGGGCATGTGAGAACCATGCACATTATCGATTACGACATGTTGGGGAGTTGTCTCTTTGATAGTGAGAACAGTGTAAGATGGGGAAGTTAATATCCCAGAGAGGTGGTGTTGGTGGTTCTTCTCGGATACAATCTCTCTTACAAAGGAGAGCATAGTCCGAGAAAAATAGATCGCCATATACGCGATGCGCCATCGCTTTTGAGCTTTGGTGAGGGTGCTGATGCTTATGTTAAGAAGCACCGTGCCATAGCCGCAGTGTGAATTGAGTTGGGCCGACATTATATGCTTCTAAGCTCTCAGAAATTGTTTGAGGACAATTTTCTAGGATGCTGCTGGGAAAGAACTTCATTCTACCAACAATACTACGTTCTTATTTATAATTGCTCAATTGAGCTGTCGGGGAAGTTTCATGGCAGCTTCCAATTTAAACAGGAATGATCAATAGTTATCAAAACCCTCTAACCAATACTATTTACTACATTAGTTTCTGAAAATATTAGCTTAGTCAAATGTATTTATTATAACCATTTTATTTGGCACAATTGGTTAACTACATTAGTTGACTATTTTTGGTTTCATAGAATTGACAACTTGGAATTGGAATTGAGGACTAACTAGCCCAAATTTGATTTGAACTCATCCAGTTCCAATTTGTTAAGCACTAGCCTTATGCTACCAAACACATGCAACATAGAGGCTTTTGGATGTTCTAATACTATCAGTTTTTTTTACAAAACTTCCTGTGATATATATATATATATATATTTGCGACTGTAATTAGTTGTCATGCTGAGAAGGAATTCGTTTACATTGATCCAGATCAGTTAGGGCTTAACTTGTTGAAGTCGGCAAAGGAAGTGGTCCATGTTTGGTGACTTTTCTTTACTTAGTTTAAATGATTTCAGCCGACCTTGAGGTGGATTGTTGAGCTTTTATTTTATTTTATTTATTTATTTTCTTTTCTCCTTGTCACAAGTAACAGGAAAACCAAGTTTGAAGGCATTGTTACAATTGGACGTTTGTCAACATTGTGTGCGTGTGTTTTATTTTTGGATTGACAATTTTATAGGTTAACAAACAGATGGCATTTGTTTTGAATTTAACATGAAATATGATTAAAGCGTTCTTAGTTTGTTGAACAATTCATGAGTTTTGTCATTTTTAATACTTGTTTAAAAAGGGTATCATATTTGGTTTAACATGAGTGGACAATATATATATGTTTTCTTGTTTCTGTTCCAAGGAAGGAGCTGTCTGAATTGTTACTCGTACCCCCTTTGTTCTTGAACAAGGTGGTTTTATACCCTCTGGGATAATCGAAGTGATTATTGGGATGTTAAGAAATTGATGTCATTTTGTGAAGAGACACATTCATTTGATTGAAAGATTCAACAAACACACACACAAAAACACACTGTTGAACTTTTTTCTTTGTCCTTATATTATGGATTCGGCATATACTGTATCAATTACTGTCAAGTGATCAATATTCTTGAAAATGAAAAGATGAATTTAAATTGTGATTGCCGCCGGGGATTGTGAAACTTTCGGCGTCTTTTGCCAAAGGACGCAGCATCCTGCATCAAAACGACAAAACAGTATTCTTCTACTAGTGGCGTGCCGCACGCGCAGCCTACAAAGTAGGACCACTTGAGCGGCCGACAGTATTCTTTAATAACTTTCTTTGTGTTTTTTTTTTTCTTCCGTCTTCCGCAAATTAAGTAAAAGAAACTCGAAAACGGGTAGAGACGATTGGGATTGGGGAGCTGGGCATTCTATCAATTAGGTTATTCTATCAATTAGGTTACTGGGTCAATTAGGTTACTGAGTATTATTTGTGGTTATATTTTTTTTTACGGAGGGAGAGGAAAGTGAAAAAAAGAAAAACTACTCTATTAGTATGGAATACCATTTTTACCTCCTCAATTGTTTATGGAATACCATTTGTAGAATGAATAATTATTTTTTATTAATTTATATAATGAGCACTGATAATATATATATATATATATATATATATATAATCTCGTATTTTATCCCTTCCAACCAAACAAAGAAATATCTCACATTATTTCTACTACCTTTTCCTTTCAGCTAAATAAAAAGTGAGAGAAACTCGTTTCCTTCATGTTTTGTCTTATCCATTACATCCATTTTTTTCATCTGTTCTACCATGTAATACGTTCTGCAATATAACTTGTGACTACTATGCTCTAACCAATAATAGATTATACAACACAATTTCTAACAATAACCTGAACATCTGACTATAGTGTAAAGACTACAAAATAGCAATGTGAAAACTCAGGCACGTATAAAAAAAACTTTTAGTAAGGTTACGTCTTTTCTTGAAATGACATCTTTTAAATTAAATACCAACTGAATAAAATTAGAAAATAATTTGAAAATATATTTTATAAATATTTTGTAACAGAATGAACCAAGTTGTAGCTTAAATTATTAAAGATTCAACTTATTTTTGTTCACTGAATAAATCAATTGAGCTTGAATTTGATTATAAATTCGTTTATTACAAGATAAATTTCACTTGAGGTTTGGGTAAATTATACACAGTTAGAGTATTTAACCTTTATTACTTTGCCCGTTTATGAAATTTGGTGCATGTGCTCAATGCCTGTCGTTAATAAAATTTAAAAAATGACTAAATTGCCAATTTCTTGTGTTAAAAGATCTTAATAACTTTATATTTTAACAAAATAAAAACAAATTAGGTTTTGATTAGTTTTTCATTTTTTTTTCCACACTTTTAGTAGATATCAAAGTAATAAAGGTCAAATACTCTACCTACCTACGTGTAATTTACCCAAATCTCAAGGAAGTTAGTGTAATTTACCCTTTATTAAATGAGTTAGTGTAATTTATCCTTTATCAAATGAGTAAAAAGAATAATATACTCAACTTAAAGGCAGATTTTACTGATTTGGGTAATGTACCCTTTATTAAATGAGTAAAAGTTTTTGCCGCTCATTTAATTAAAAAGAATAATAGTATTTTTGCCGCTTATTTAGGTAAAGTTAAAAGAATAAAAAAGTTAGGCAGATCTTACTGATTTGGGTAAATTATACATACGTAGAGAAATAAATAATCTATTTACCTAAAATAATAATTGAAATGGAAGTTAGTTCTGTTTTATACTATTAGCTACAGGAACCGGAGCTACGTAATAGTCGGTGGTGTCGGCCACCGCCACTCACTTTTTCTGTCTAAAATTTTACTAAAATTATTAGTAAAAGTCTAAGTAAGACTTCAGAGACTTTATTTATATTCTTTTATTTATAAAAGGGTTAAAATTATAAAACTTTCATCACTTATACATTTTGATCATAAAATTTTAATTTGTTTTAAAAAATTCTTACATTGATATTTTTCTGTTTTAGAAAATTCTTACATTGATATTTTTGTAATTTTAAAAAATAGTTTTTTTGTTTTAAATTTATTATTAAATAATAAGGTTAAATTTATCATTTCATAGTTCAGTTAACGGGTGTGAATATAAATATTAGGATAGTGTGAATACGAATATCAAGGCAGTGTGAAATAAGTTAGGATTTGGGTCAAGTGCCAAAAACACTCCTAAAGTATGTTTATAGTGCATATCACACCCCTCACATGCAAAAATATCCCTAAAATTTTAATTTGGTGCAAATAGGTCCCTTTGACAAATTTAAACCCTAAGTTGACTAAATTACCCTTACTAAACTATTTTATAAAATATATAAAAATAAATAATTTTATAAAATAACCGAAAAAGACACTATTGGAGGATACCCTCACATGCAAAAAAACATTCCTAAAGTTTCAATCTGGTGCAAATAAGTCACTTTGACAAATTTAAACCATAAATTGACTAAATTACCCTTACTAAACTATTTTATAAAATGTATAAAAATAAATAATTTATAAAATAATTAAAAATGATACTATTGGAGGACGTCAGTAATGGACAAGTAAGGATAAAAATAAAAAATAAAAAATGATAATAAAGTGTAAATTAAATTAAATAAATATGTTCCAAACTCCTAAAACCAATGCATATTGATATTGGGAAATTTTTCCTTTTTTTTTTTTTTTTGTTGTTGTTGTAAAAAAATAAATAATAAAAATAAAATAAAATGTAAACTGAAATCTCAAAAAATTCAAATCCTTGTTTTACAAATTCTCAAAGTTTTAAAAAAAATGTTTAGAAATATATAGAGAGAAAAAAGTTATATATATATATATATAAGATTAGTAGCATATATATCCTCGTGGGCATTTTCGGAAGAGTAAAAGGGCAAAACAGGTATTACAATAATAATTTATGTCAGATGAGGTATTTTTGCACAATAAGAAAAGATTTTAACACACTTTATTAAATAGGGGTAAAAGTACTCCGCGAAGTATATTTTAAGATGTTTTTTGCGCTTATTCTTTAGAATTTTATGATCAAAATTTAAAAGTAGCATAAGTTTTATGTATAAAATGACAAATATAACCACGAACTCTCCAATTTAACTAAAACTTGTGGTATCCCTTTGCTTCTCTCTCCTCTCTCTCCTCTTCGATTCACTCTTTTCTCTCTATCTGAAATAATTCTAACTTCTTCATCAGCAAAACCCTTCATCTATGTCATCAATCACCTTACCCAATAACTCAAATCCACCTTCCATCATGTCTAAATGATCCTTGTTCCCCTTTAGCTCTCATATCTTTCCTTTAATTATAATCATCATCATCTTCTTCTTCTTTTCTCTTTTTTTTCCAGATGACATTATAGGTGTTCACCATCTTTATTTTTTTAATCTTATAAAAAAGAAGCGAAAAAGAAAATCCAATTATTGGTGAAAACAAGAGCACAAAGTGATTTGCAGATGCGAAACATATAAGATATGCTTGCTTAGAGATTAAGATTTGAGTTTTTTAAGTTTCAAACCTTTAGAGATTAATGTTTGGGTATTTTGAGTTTCACGCTTCTATCTTCTCAAAAAAAAAACAGACAGTGGTTAAGGCCTGTTCTTCATAAGTGGGCCCACAATTGTTGTAAGATGTTCCGAATGCCGTCCACCTTACTACTACCTTGGGAAAAAAAAAAAAAACCAGACAGTGGTTAAGGCGGTTCTTCATAAGTGGGCCCACAATTGTTGTATGACGTTCCGAATGCCGTCCACCTTGGGTATGCGGCTCCTCGTTTTACCATTTCTAAGGTTGTATTTGGTGGAGATGCGGGTCCCTGAGTCCAAACTTCCCAAGTCCTTTGGAAATCAAATTGCGTTTGTAGTGTTGGTCCTCCAACTCTAACTGACATTTTTTTCTTGATCTGTCAAGACTGTAATATTGATTATAAGAGGTGTTAGTTAGGTTTGGTTGATCTGTAGCTGTTTGGTATTAAATGTATATTTGGTTCTATATCTATGGTCGATGTTCTTACATGTAGGTGTCGTATGACATTTGGCTTGTTTTCGTGTCAGGAAAAAAAAATAAAAAATAAAAAAATGTAGGAAATAGGGCTATCAACCACGGATGGTGAAGAATTCTTAAGGGAGTACTGATGGGTAATTTTGTCATTTTATTTTATTGAAAAAAAGATGGAGCGTTAGAGGCTAATTTTGGAACGCAAATATCATGACTCAATTCTAAAAATATTCTTACTAAAAACTTTGATGAACATATGCATACTATTGCTCCCACTAAAATTTTATATATTTAGCTTCATAATAATTGATATGATATGAAAATTTAAAATTCTTAAGGGAGTACTAAAGTATAATAGTGACAGTGGTGGCCGCGGGGATTGAAGGTGGTAGTGGCGGAAGGGAGTGGAGGGGACAGTAGTGTGGTGGTTGAAGATCGAAGGCAATAGTGGTGGCGGTGGTAGCAACGGTGGTGAAAGGCAATGGAGGTGGCGGCAGTGGTGGAAGCTAGTGGCAGTAATGGTGAGGTGATGTTTTTGGACTAAAGCTTGAAAGAAGAGTTTTTTAATAATTTGATTTTTAAAAAAAAATAAAAATTATTCTGAATGGAATGTTTACTACAAATATTTAGTTATGATATGAAATTCATTTTCATTCTTTAGAGTAGATTTTCTTTCCAATATAATGACTATTTTCACTTTAAACGGCATACCAAATAATAAAATTGATTGAAATCATAATACAAGAACATGTGCATGTTTCATGATTTCAAAAGAAGGCAAGACTTTGGGCACTAAAATTGAATATTGTCACTGTTACAGGTGCAATAGTCGGTGGGGTCCACTGCAGCCACTCACTTTCTATATATATAATTTTACTAAAATACTGTGTACTGGAATGAAATAAAAGAAAGTGGAATGGAATGAGTGTTTTTCTATTCTCGTGTTTGGTGCTAATTTTGAAGTTAGAATCATCATTCCCCACTATTCTTGGAGAATGGTCATTCCATCCAAATCAGTTCATATTCTAACAAAATGAATGACCATCTCATTCC